CCCGCGCTGCCTTTCCTCTCCGCCAGAGCCGAGAGCCCCAAGCTCTGCCTCTCGCCGCGCCACGCACCCGCCGGCGCAATTCGCCGCGGCTCCTCCACCTCGGCCGGCAATCACGCGCCCGCAGCTCCGCCTCGCCCTCCTTCAAGTTGTGCTCGCGTTTGCGCCACCTGCCGAGCTCAGGTAGAGCCGCCTCAGCCTCGCCACCAACGGCCATGGCGCCGCCGTGCTCGGCCGCCATGGAAGTCACCTCTCCTCTCTTCTCCAGCCCCGCCTAGCTGCCCTACCGCATTCGCCATCTTCTCGCGCATCCCGTGCGCCCGCCAGCTCGCCCTGCCATGGCCGGAGATGGCCGCCGGCCTCGTGGCCGAGCCGCGCCGCCGCGCCAGCGCAAGCGCCGGCGTAGCCCCTGCCTCAGCCGGCCAGGCCGAGTGGCCGTGGGCCGACGCCTGCCGGGCCGTCTTCCCCCTCCCTTGCGTTCGGGCCGCGCAGGCCAAAAGCGGCCGTGGGCCAGCTGATTCCAGCGGGCTGGCCCAGTAGCGTTTAAAGAAATTGTTTTCAATTTATTCTTTATTATTTGAAAATAGATATGGTTTGCAAAATGTTTGGATACTCAAAGTTGCTCCAAATCTGTTGAAATAAATTTGTCTAGGTTCCTTATCATCAGATCTACTTGGGAAAAATTGTGCATGTCATTTTTGAGATACTTTGCTGTAGAATTTTATTTAATCATGAATATTGCTGATAACTTGAAAAATATATAGAAAAATCTATAGACTTCAAAAAAAATATGATTTCAAGTTTGTTAATCTTCTTATGTCATGTATTTCCTAGGAAAAATATGTTTCATGCATGTGCTGTGGGAAAATTTTGAGGTGTAGTACAAGCACCTTTAATTGCTGATTTTTGTTATTTTTGCTAGAGAGCAAACTTTGTATAAAACATGCATGTGATAATTTTTGTGCAGTCATTGTATGCTATGAAGAACCTAGAAAAAATACTAACTCTGTTGTTTGACACTTTTCATAGTTCAAAGTATTTTTATGTTCATAATCCTACCATGCCTTGTCATTTTTGTGTAGACTATTTTACTTATCTAAACGCCATGAAAATTTTATGGTAGTCTACTTAGAGTAGTACTATGCTACTGTAATTTTTTTAGATTTTTATAAGCACCAGAAATATAGGTTGCTGTTGTAGCCCTAGTTTAAAATGAAATAAAATAATCCTCTTTAATGCAAGTTAGTTAATAATGTTAACTTTGGTGTATCTTTGAAGCATTTAATAAGATGTGTTGACTTAACCTATTAGTAGTAGAAGAGAATGCAGTAGATGACATGTGCTTGTAGTATATTTTCTTGGATGATGTTGACTACCTTGCATTCAAACATATCCATTGTATTTATCTCATCCGATGCACCGATTGCATAAGCACTTACACGCATTGCATCATATAGGATCGCAAACCGAGAACCCAAATCGTCATACCCGAGGAGCCCGAGGAGCGCTTCGAGTGCGTGCCAGCAGAAGTGCCGAAGCGACGAGGAGGACGTTGAGGAACTTCCGGAGTGCCCCGATCACCGTCCGAGCTCCTTCGAGAGAGAGCCCCGAGCATTTTTCTCCCGTTTGCAATGATTTAATTAAATGCTTTACTTTAATTGATGCATTACGTTCAGGAGTTGTTTGCAACCGTTCTTTGCATTATACCTTGTTTACCTTTGTTATACTATATCCTTGTTACCCTGGTATCCGCAGTCGAGTCAATACTTAGCTGGCTTAGACCGGTAGAAGTCGGGTGATTTCCTATCACCTGCGAGCTATATGTGGTTACCTGGATCTGCTTGGATGACTATGAAGTCATGGTATAACTAAGTGTTAAATGAAGTTGAGACCGGACGGAGACTTGCAGAGTTTTGGACTGTAGTGTTTCCGTCTGTGTCGATTAAGGACCGACCATTGTTGGGACTCGAGTCATGTTGAACGCATGCCTTACATTTAGCTGGCGGATAAAGTACCTTCCGCCAATGAGCCGGGAGATTTTTCGGGCGAGAGTAGATTGCCCGCACGCCTGCCTGACCGTGGGAGCAGGTGTGGTAGGACACGGGGGCAAGATGATAAGACCAAAGTGCAGTCGGTCGGCCCCCGGGTACATGTGGTTCCTGGCAAACTTGAGATACCTAGAAAGTTGACTCGGTGATCAATATCTCACTTTAGCGGGTGAGTGAGGTTTGTGTAAGGAATAAATCACCAGCTGGTTAGGAATCGATTCGAATCGCCATCGCTTCTGGATAGTGAGCACTTGACTTGAGTTACTTCATCGTAGTAAATGTTTATGGAACACTTGGATAGTTATAGTGAATATGATAGTATAGAAGTTGTTTAATGATCAGTGGTTATCATTATCTGCTTAATCATATGTGTGCTCTAGTATAGGTGCAAATCTAGTCAACAGGTTAATAATAATTAACTTGACAATAATGCTTTTAGAAAGGTTCTTGAAATGCTAAAAATGCTTCTTTTGCAAATGAGTCAGCTACCCTACTATAAAGCCCTTCATAATCCTTGGTGTCATTTATTTTCGGTTATGTCGGGTAAGTCTAGCTGAGTACCTTCTCGTACTCAGGGTTTTATTCCCACTTGTTGCAGATGGGCAGATGTATTACGGCTACTGTATCAACTGCCTGTATCCTGCGATGGGTGATGCTTAGAACCATGGGCATGGTCATTCCTTACGTCTCGTCTAATGCTTTTGTTGGAGATGATTATTCGCTGGCACTATATTTGAACTCCGCGTGAGTGTGTGTGGTTTGAACAAATGGCTTCCGCTACTTTTATTCGAACTGATTTTGTAATAACTATGTTTAAACTCTGATGTATCTGAGATTGCGAACTTTTATGTAATATGTGATGGTGACCGCTAAACTTATTACGATCTTGGCTGGAATGGAAGTTGGTTTGAAATCCTTTGTGATTTCACGGACTACCGGGTTATACGGGATTAAGTTTGCTCAATCGTCTGCTCTGGCGGATGATTTTCTTACTTAATTTCGTATAATTGGTCGGTTCTGTTACAGGTACACCTTGACTTACCTAACTAATCTGGCTAAGGACTAATATTCCTAATATGATAATCTTGATAAAAACTTAGATATCTTGCTCATGCGAGGGGTAGGTCGTCGTGAGTGTGGGATCTTAGACGACGTAGCTCGTGGAGTAGTAAGGACCGTGTATTAGGATACGTAAGTCTGAGTGACCACCAGTACAGACCACATGTCGCGGATGGGGTCGATAAGCCAAATAACTAGTTGCGACCTGTTTATCCGTGAAATTGACAAGGAGGTTGGCGTCGGTCGGGAATGTCCGGGACATTGATCGGGCAACCGCTCGAACCTTTCATCGGACACTCGGGCCGGATTAGGGAAAGGTTGGAGAACGTGAGGCAACCCTTACTACCGGGCCTGGTGTATGGAGGTTAGTCCTGTTTCTCCGTGTGGGTACAGTTGTACACCTCTGCAGAGTCTTAAAAGCCTAGAGTCCTTCGGGATGGAATTATTCGGTTGTTCGTTCTTTCTATACCCATGGTAGCATGAACAATGGACTATGAACACTTTGTTATAATGATGAATACCTTTACTTATATGTTGAGCATGGCATGGCATAATCTTAATGAACATCATTACTTTCCGCACTCATACAAATACCTAATAACTCCCTTATGTATCCACCAAATACTATATGTTGGAATTAAGTCTTGCGAGTACGCAATGTACTCATGGTGTAGCCGTTAAGTTGTTTTGCAGGAAGTCCGAGTCTCTTCCCTAGTCTAGCTCCGATGAAGACAATAGTTAGCAGACCTTGGAGCCAGCGTCTTCCAAGATGAGTTGCGTGTAACTCGACGAGTAGATGAGTGACAAGAGTGGCAACCCAGAGTAGCAGTATAGTTGTTCGGAGTATTAGACTCAGTAGTCGTACACCTTCCAATTCTATTTTTTTTATTAATAACACTTCGGGAGATAATGTAAGACCGAAGAGGGTACATGAATGAGTTGTCTGGAATGCCTTGTATTGGGTATGTGTATGTAACTCAGTGTAAAGATCCTGAAGAGGAGTTGCTACGTGCACTTCTGGGGGCCTTGAAGTTGTAAATTCGACAACCCCATCAACGTCGATATCGGTTCCTAAGAGGATGGATATCGGGGCGCGACAGCAAGTCTTTTTATATTTTGCCCCCGAGCTTGCACATATAATGTAACAACTTTAATATATTTTTAGAGTAGCAACTTTAGGGTAGTACTACACATAAATTGCTACATAGCAACTTTAGTATTATAGAGTAGCAACTTTAGGGTAGTACTACACATAAATTTTTCCAAACATATGTAAGTGGGGTCTAGTTTTGTTCGTCTCGTTACGTAGAACACACCGGTATAGACGAAATTGAAAACGGGTTGTACCATTCAAAAATTATAGCAATTCAAAGAAAATATTTACTTTTTTTACTTGTGTGAGCGTCAGGACAGTATGGCTGTGTATGCTTGCATGTGGAAGTGAGTATGCGGGTGCATGCACTGGCGTCTGGAAGTTGAGTACGCGGGCGCATGGGGCTGGGGTCGCGCGCCATCTTGTGCGCGACCCATCGCGCTATAACCACGACCATTTGGAAATTGCGGAAACTGAAACTGCGAGCTTAATTTATAAACCGAATCGAATGCAGTCTGAATCTATGTGGATCATAGTTGTAGATTTTTTTTCTTACCAACAAAGGGTAAAGTCAATCTATGTTAGGAAGAGCCAAAGAGGTCATCACCAACCAACCAAACAAAAAAAACTAGATCATCCCACCGAATAAATATTGTGCCAAATAAAACAGATTCAGATTATCTATCAAACTAATCAAATAGAATACAAAATAATGTTCCGAAGTTCTTTGTAACATTGTAAAGTTTTATTATTCATACACCAACCGAAACATGCTCCCAAATTAGACTAGCACTTTGCTGGACTCAAAGAACCCATCCTGTGCGCCAGAACACACAACTCAAACCAAACCATGTACTGTCATAAGACGTCCACATGTACTAATATATGTGAAGACAAAAGCTTTAGTGACAGTTTTTTTCTTTGTTACAAAGGATCAAGGATCTAACTAAAATTTATAAGTCGTTGGGATGAAAGTTAGATAAGCTTAAGAGTGTGCAAGTCCTATTTTATGTTTTCCAAACAAATATACCACATACATAAAAATGTGCACCCAATACATTCAATATACTATGTTTGATATTATCTACCAAAATAATAATCGGAACCACAAAAACCTTTTGAATTATGTACTATAACATAATCTTTTTTACATTGGACTTTTGCGAGAAGCTATCAACGCGGATACCTTGCTGATAACAAGAACTCTTCTTCAAGACTACTGCCTACTTGACTCTTTCGTGCTTCTACCCTCAACTGTTGGAAATATCACATTTTCCTTAAGAGTTTCTTGGACCAACTCTATGCAGCTTTACATGTTCGGCATGTTCGCTGGGCGGTTTCTGGGCTGATAAGCCCGGCTGGTGCTGGTTTGTCGTGAAAGGAAAACACTGTTGGCTGGCTCATAAGCTCTGGCTGAAATCAACAAGCGAACATGCTGGTTGTAGTGATTCTTGGATGCTTTCAAGGGTCAACTCCACTTGTCTCATGGTTGGCCGCTCCTCTGCTTTTAGCTTCACACATATAGCTGCCAATGCAGCTACTTCGTTGACTTCTTTGCCTCCCTCCTCCAATACTTGAGGATCGAGTACACAAGACAAGTTACCATGTGTAAGCAAGGAAGTGAGCTGTGCAATTAAGCCATCATTCTCAGGTGATCTATATGAAAATGGTTTCTTTCTGGTGAGCAACTCTATCAGAACAACACCAAAACTGTAAACGTCGCTCTTCTCAGTGAGTCTTCCCGTGTAGTAGTACATGGGGTCTAGATACCCTAGTGTTCCTTGGATGGCGGTTGTAACCCCTGTTTGATCGGGTGAAATGCACCTTGAGGCTCCAAAGTCAGACACTTTAGCTGTTAGAGAGCCCTCCAATAGAATGTTATGCGACTTTACATCCCTATAAACTATAGGGAAGGACACAACCATGTGAAGGTAGGCAAGAGCTCTGGCGGTTTCCGTTGCAATTCTCAGCCTATGATCCCATCGCAATGACGTTGGTCCTTCAACATGAAGATGGTCATAAAGTGTCCCATTTGAAATGAATTCATATACTAATAGTGGCACTTCGGTCTCAAGGCAGCACCCAAAAAGTCTCACTACATTCCGATGATTGACTTGTGAGAGAATAGCTACCTCATTTATGAACTCGTCGATCTCTCTCTGGATTGCCACTTTTGATTTTTTAATCGCGACAACATGCAGGTCCGATAAGATCCCCTTGTACACGGTGCCGTGTCCTCCTCCACCAAGCTTGCGAGCATTGTTGAAATTGTTAGTGGCTTTCTCAAGTTCTACCAAGGGGATGGTCATTCTCTCAGCGATGTCCTTGTTTTGGAATACCAATTGTTGTAACATATGTCCGCGGTTCTGCTTGAAGAATTTCTGTTTCAACATTCTTGCCCTCCGGTTCTTAATCCCACGAGCCACAAAGGCTGAACCAAGAGCCAAGACCAAAAGGCCTGCTCCACTGCCAACTCCGAGACCAACACTTAACCCTGAGAAAGTAAGCATTTTTCAATCCGGGTAAGAGTAGTGACATACTACTTTCCTTATATTAGGCTTTGAATTATGACATACGAAGTAGGTTTGGAAACAAAGGAAATGACCACCAAGGAGTTCATTCACTACTAAAACAGAGTAAGACTAATACGTCAGAGAGGTAGTCGAGTGGTTCTCTGCTCACCAAGAGAAGTTTTGACACAGCCATCTGCCATGTAGGGGCTGCCACGAGCACCGCGTGGGCACCGGCACTCGTACCCACCATCCCTGTTTGTACATACGCCGAAACACTTTCCTGGAAGCGCGCACTCGTCGATATCTGTTGAAGCAAACACCAAACAGGCGTGTCAGGTCAATGTCAACATGTAAGTACTGCTGCACCTGCACGCAACGGTGCCCGTGCTTACCTTGGCATCCGCCGTCGCCGGCAAGGTAGGGGTTGCCGTCGTACCCATCCTGGGGGCGCTACCGGGGTTGCCGGTGACGTTGTGGCAGGTGCTGTGGCTGCTTCTGCACGCGCTCCTCGCCGCGTCGACGGGGCAGGACCAGTTGCCGGTGTCCTCTGCGGCCGTCGATCCCGGGGGCGCTACCGGGGTGGACGCCACCACCCAGTCCAGCACCACCGGAACCGGAACCTGCTGGACTTGGGCGTCCGTCGCTGACTCGTTCAGCATCTGGGCGGCGACGCCGTCAAACCAACCGCGTTCGGCGATGCGCAGCGCCATGGGCAGCTTGCCCATGTACTCGAGGTCCAGGTACTTGAACTCGACGGTGTAGTTAGGGCGGCCGATGGGGATGGGCGTCTGGCAACAGCCGACGCCGGAGCACGCGACCGTTCCGTCGCCGCCGCTCGTGCTCACCACGGGGTTTATCCAGATGTCCTTGATGGAGCAGGAGGAGGAGCAGCCGATGATGACGTTGCGGCTGTCCCCGAGCAGCGTCCCCTGGACGTTGCACCCCGTGACGGCGAACTGGTTGCGCTCCTCCGAGAGCACGTACGTATCGCCGCTGCCGGAGCCGAGGCCGCTCCAGGTGCCGTTGCCCTCTGGCCCTCCTTGGTAGGTGATTTTCACTGCACCGGCGGTGTCCATGGCGCGGACCGTGGAGTTGGCCAGCGAGATCTCCACGACCTGGAGGGTGCTGCCGTCGCCGAGCAGCAGCCTCGGCGGATGCTGCCGCGTTTGGTCGCAGGTGAGGTTGAAGCCGGGGAGAGGGAGGGAGCAGCCGTCGCGGATGCCGAAAGGGTACGGCACGCTAACGTTGCCGCAGGTGGTTGGGCGGCTCGCCGGCGGTCGTCCTCCAGCCTGGGCTGCCGCGGAGGTGAGCTGCAATACCAGTAGCAGTACTGCTGCCGGAAGCATCATCGCCGGCGAAACAAAAACAAAAAAGTGTCCTACACTAGGCTAGTTATAGCACGCACCTCGTGTCAAACTATCAATCCATCAGCCTCTGGATAAATAGTATCGGATCGCCCTTGCCTCACCGTCTCACCGATTCTACAAATATACGTGGATGGTTGCTGAATTTCATTGTAGCTTACTCGTCAGTCTCCATTTTCCCACCAACGAACTTTCTCTTTTCACACCCCTCCTATTCAACCAAATGCTGTTTTTTCTGGACTGATGGCTGTGACCCGGTCCGTGTGCGTTGCCACCGCCATCACTGGAATCTGGAAGCTTTGTCCCCGCCCCGCAGCAACAGAGTGGTAGCTGATGGTAAAGGCACGACGGTGTCAGTCGCTAATCCAAAGACCCAGCTACGAAAATTGTGGAACGAGTGAACGCCGGCCGGTGCGGTCGGCCGTCATCCGAAGCTAACGTTGCTATTGCACTATGTGTGCATCTGAGAATAAATTTTATATTAAAATTGCAGTTTTAGTTAGTTGTAATTTCTATATACATAATATGCAATTTTTTATTCTGAGAATAAAAACCAGTTAGACAAACCACAAACCTGACAAAATATGATATGTGTTAGCATAAAGACAATTTAACAATTTACAGTTAGAGGAAAATTCACAGGCGGTCCTTTAAGTTGGCAAGAGGTGTCATCTAGGTCCAAACCCGCTTTAGATGCTGACGTGGCTCCTACCTGTGGGGCCCACATGCCAGTTGGTTATATTTATGTTTATTTTTATTTTTTATTGATGTGGCATGTTGACTTTTTCAAAAAATAATTTATAACTTTTCATATGAGCTTGGATTAAGACAAACCTTATATCAAAATTGTAGCCCTTGACAAGATCTACAACGTTGTAGTTGAAAAGTTTTTGAATTGAACTGTTTATGGTCCCAAAATATTGTTGTAAGTGCAGATTTTGAAATTTGAAATTCAAAATTATCCAACAATCTCGTATGTTGACATGGTGTATATGAAAGTTATAGTTCTCAGTACGATCTAAAAATTTGTAGTTGAAATGTTTTATATTTGAAGTTGTTTAGTATCCCAAATACGTATTCTAGGTTTATAGATTTTGAAATAAAAAACTTAGAACACATATTTAGGAAATTAAAAAACTTTTCAACCACAAAGCTGTAGATTATATTAAGAATTATAACTTTCATATACACCATGTCAACAGCCGAGATTTTTTTATAATTTCAAAATTTCAAACCTGTAAATTGACAACAGTATTTTAGGACCCTAAACCGTTTCAATTAAAAAACTTTTCAACTGTAAAGTTGTAGATCCTGTCGAGGGCTACAATTTGATATAAAGTTTGTCTCCGTCCGAGCTTATATGAAAAAGTTATGAATTATTTAAAAAAAAACAATGTGCCACATCAGCAGAATAATAAAATAAACAGAAATATAACCAACTGACATGTGGGCCCCACATGTAGGAGCCACGCCAGCTCACCACGTCATCATCCAGAGCGGGTTTGGACCCGTTTGGACCTAGATAACACCCGAAGCAAGTTCATAGACCCAAAATTGCCATTTTTAAAGTAGAGGGACTTACATAGCACCCCTTGCCATATCGAAGGACCGCCCATGGATTTTCCTCTTACAATTATTTCTATAGACAGACAATGACATAAATTTGATATGTTGACACAAAGACAAATAAATAATCACAAAAGTGATAATTTATTTGTACTAATTGGTAGTACAAAAGTGTTGCCTACAATTATCTTCAAATTCAGACACGTGAAATACAGGAGAAGTGTTTTTTAAATTAACAAAAAAAATGAACAAATACTATGTTACTGTATCACATTCCTTTATAGCCGGAAGAGAAGTTTAAAAAGCTACCATATGTGTCACTTTAATTCGAGCGGTACAACTTTCACATAAAAAGTATCTTTATCCGATATCATACGATGCAAGAAAAGATATAATTTTTCTAAGATCAAAGGACCTGGTACGCGATTAATATGCTACTAAAATTTTGTATTATTATTTTGACCATCTTAATGACCTCAAATGATAAAATTCAAAACTATAAATTTGTAGATCTCATCGAGAGCTACAACTTTCATATATAAAATATGTTTATTTGACACCATATAAGAAAAATACGATTTTTACAAGTTTGATATGCTATTAATATGTTGTTGAAACTTTATAATATCTTTTGAGCATCTTAACGATATTAAATGAAAAATCAAAGCTAGAAAGTTTTTGATCTCATGGAGGGCTACAATTTTCATATAATAATAATCTTCATCTAGGATCGTATGAAAAAAATAAGATTTTTCTGAGAATGAGCCTTGCCGCTGACATGTTGGTCTCATATGTCACATCCATATAAAGTATTGAGTCAGCATGCCACGTTAGTTACCAGGGCGGTTAAATGACCGTTTAGACCTGGATGAGACCCGAACTAACTTCAGAAACCCAAAATTATATTTTGAAACTTTGGACACCTATAAGACACCTGCAGACAACTTCAAGGAACTTTGGTCAATTTCGCTTTCCCTTAATTGTTTGCATCTCAGGTGGATTGGGAAGAGACCACGTTTCTCGTTTTCTTGATTTCTACTAAAAATTAGATTGTTTCCTTGATTTTCTTGTCAGAGCATCTCCAAGAGTTCCCTAAACCTTCTCCTAATCCTTGGTTTTTAGAAAGAAGTGAAAAAATCTCTCTCCAACAACTTTTAATACAACCTCCTAATATTTTAGAAGTTGGAAAAAATCCCCCTCGTCTGCGTAAAGTTACGCGCAACGCCGGTCGCGCGTATCCTCGCATGAGATGTATTTCCCCCGCCTCCACGGGACCACGGCGCTGGAGCACTGGCGCACCAGCGAGACGACGCGTCCTGCTTCCACGACCAACAATTAGAAGTTGATTACCAGAGAAATCTCAGAAGCAAGCTCAAGATGAACTTGATTCAGCCAGGGTACAAGCCGTAGAGAGAGCACCGATAGGCTAGAGCTCCTCCAAACTCTTCCCCCACACTCTATCTCTCTATTTCTAAATAAAGACTAGATCCTAACTTGGAGGACTAATCTTCTCTTGATTGCTAGCTCTGATCCTGATGGAGAGGATATGAATTGTAGCTCTGGTTTCTAGGGTTTTAGGATTTGCTTGGAGGAGGGGGTACAGGCAGGTACATATAGGGGGGTACATCAATTCTGGACCCTCAGATCAAACCGACTTAAAAGAATAACATAGATGCAATCCTTAAGATGGTGGAGAACCGACGTAGCGAGGAGTTGCTGCTAGGTCGGACCCATAGGCCGGCCGGCCTAATAGTGGGGCTGATCGCCCCCACATGTCAGTGACATGTGGCCTACTTTGGTGATTTGCCTTCTAGAGTCTTCCCACATAGGTACCATTGTAGATAAACATGATTTCCTTTGACGAATAGGTCCTCCTCGGTGGTTTTCTGATTAAATCCTACTGAAAATACAGATTCACCAAAACTCATGAAAATTGTCAGTTTAAACCCCTAAGTCTATATTGGTGATCCATTTTATGCAAGGTATATTGACGGTTTATAATTGACATTAACTACCGTCAACAACTCTCCCATACTTAGGCTTTTATTCGTTCTCGATAAAAGGATGGATTACTTTAGACATAACCTTGGGACAAGATATCAACATAAAACTATTCCCAGTCATACATGCTCTGTAGGACTCAAAGTGTCTACCACAAAACTTTGGGCGGTTAAAGAATGGAACAGCTTGAAATGGATCACCATCTTTCTTCGGTCAAGTCAATTGGAGAAACATTTTAAGATTTTGAAAACAAAATATAACTTACCTTCTCCATTTGTGGCACTCTCAAATCACTCAATATATGTGGTATTTTTAGATCCTTACCAAGGCATTGATTTTTTTGCCTTCTTTTTACCTACTTCTAAAAAGCTTATATGGAGCTTAGGTAAGGATAAATATGAGAACATACTTGCATTGCATATATTGTAAAGTCAAAACAAGGATCTAAAGAGAAAAATATCATACTCTTAGATCAAGATGTGCATGTGTATGGATATATATATGGTGGCTAAACTAATTCTACTATGCTCTTTAAACATATCTCTCTTGTTGATACTTTGAAACACTTTTGCAAGAAAACAGTGGCTATCTTATTCTTCTTTCTTCATTTTTTAGGCGGGCATCTGAGTACCCATTGTTTTAAATATCTCGGACACTTGTCTATTTTTTTCAATACTTTCTTCTTCTTTTTTGTGAATAACTCTTGCATAGCCCATGCCTTTTTTCTGCAATTGAAACTTTTTAAGAGAGATAATATCAAGAACTTGGAACATTTATGCTAACAAACACTACTAAAAATCCTTTCATCTATGACGTTTTGGGAATGACGATTCTAATTTTGGTCACTCAATAAGGTTAATTAATTATGATTTTACCTGGATCATCATGGATGCTTGGTTTGGTCGTCAACCCCTTTATTCAACTGTGACGAATTGGAAAATTTTGTCATACAAATGTTCTAAGCTTTGTCATAGAAGTGAAACTATAAAGTTTCACCGTTCAGGTCCCACCTGTCATATGATGGTTTTTGTCATAAATGTGGGATTTATAAAAAAATGTGTGATGCCTAGGAATCGAACCCGACTCCTATAGTTCATAGCCAAGTTGTCTTACCATCAGAATACGAGTTCGGACGTGTTAAGGGATGGGAACATTTTTTTCTTATTGGATTTTTTAATCATTCATATGACCCTTCCATCGTGCCTGCGTGCTGCCACCTAGATCCAATCGGGCAGGGGCTGGGAGCAGGTGCTCTGGCGGCGGACCTCTCCGTTGGGCATCTCTGGCGAACCTCTTCGGTGTCCAACTCCGACGGACCACTCTGGCTACAAGCTGCTGTGGCCTAGCTGCTCCGGCGGTCAGCTGCTGCGGGATGCGCTGGCGAGCAGCTGCTCCAGCGTAGCTCGTTGTTTCGGTGG